CTCCCCCATGTCTACCCGTCACCGCACCGTGTCCGCTTCCCGCCAGGATGCCTACGGTCTCTGGAGGCCCAGCGACTCCGACTCTGATCGGCCCCGCCAGACAATGGCCACCACTCAGCGCCACAACGTAGAACAGGCGGCAACAGTGGAAAGTGCCAGGAAACACCGTAGCTCTCGACGAACGGATCCTCTTGACCCTGCGGCGCATTCTCACCATAAGCCATCTAGAGACAAGTCATCGACGATCCCACAGTCATACTATGCTGTCCCCCAGTCACCGCTCCCCTCCACAACATCTCGAACCTACGACGTCTACTCGGATGCATATGGGCTTCGCGCGTACCTCAAGAAGAAGACTGACAAGCGCAGCCCGCGGTCCTCGAATGAAAAGGTACCTGCCCCCGACGACACGCAGGCTGCCCGTTCCGTCTATCCTTCTCGCTATGACTACGCGACGGCAGCCGCATACGCCCCACCGCCCGCATCCACAAGCTACTACACTACCCTGCCGGAGCAGACCACTCGTGATCCTACGTCGTCCTCTCGACATCACCGGGACCGGGAAAGAGATAGGGAGAAGTCAAGCAGACGCGACGTCGAGAAGGCCAGCATGCGTGACTACGCCTCAGAGAGGAGCGAGGATCGGGAGAGAAGACGGCGCAAAGAGAAAGAGGCTGGAAAGGAGAAGGAGCGATCTTCCAAAGGTCGAGACAAGCATACAGAGAGAGATAGGTCTAAACACAGGGGAGCGCACTCGGAACGCACGGTGCCCGACGCGAACAGTTCTAGTCTCAATCATGCACATGCTCAAGCACCAGCTCCGGCCCAGCGATCTACAGACAAGTTACCCGCTGGCAACACAGTACGCATGTCTGATTTTTGGGGCACGCAATTAGTCTGACGTCGAGTAGGATCAAGGTCGTTTGCAGCAAGCGCAGGCGGTACCGGCGGCCGCTGTGACTACGCCTACTGCCCTACCGTGGTCCGGTCTCACTGCCGGTGGACGGCCAGCAGTTATTCATGCATCTAACCCCGTGGTCGACGCGGGGTATCCCTCTGCTTCTGATAGGGAGGATCCTCCGCTCCCTATTCCACCTCCCGGACATAGACGCGAAACGTCCTCCTCGAAAGCTCGTGGCAGTCAGCGCCACCGCGTCCTCGCGCAGCAAGCTGCTCAGGATTCTGGTATCTCCAGCAGCGAGCAGGAGCATTCCGTTAGAGTGAGTGCGCCGAGGTGCTTAACATAGGCCGCATGACTAAACTGGTTATATAGACTAGAGTGACCGACAGACGTATTCAGAGTCGTGAGCAAGCTAGCACTTTAGGACGTGGTCAGTCCTCTGGACCTTCCGGGAGCGAGAATGAGAAGGCCCCTGCTTTTCATAAAGAGCGCGTGAGTGTCGACTATATAGACAAATGTGCTTATTGTTCATATGTACGCATTAGCGGAAGCATAAAGAGTCTTCCCGTCACAGATCGAAGACTGCTGCTACCGATGGCGAACCTCCGGGACCTACCACGAGTCAAGAGATTGCGACGGCATGGTATCAGCGGGTAAGCGCTTCTATGTAGATGTTCGCTGTAACCAACCTCAAATACGACACAGCATGTTCGAGAGACATCCGGGGCAAAACAGACCGCGCCCATAGTAGATTCACCGCAACGTGCGCCGACCGTGGTCCCTACCAGTAACTTGCCCACGCAGCCTAGTGTACCATACACAGGCAAGCCTACTTCTCACGTAGGTCAAACAATATCTCAACGTCCTACGCCTCAAATAGTCAGCATTCGAGCTGCGCAGGGCCCATCTGAGCCACACGCGGGCACCTTGCCACCGAAGAACCATAGCGCGGCATCTGGTGGTAGGCAGATGGATGTACAAGTGGTGGATCGCGCCTACGATACCGTCTCGCGTTCGCAACCTCCAGCACAGTACTATCAGCAGTCAGCTGGTCGATCTCAGGACACCACGCCGCAGACAGTCGTTGCGCAGGCGTACACCTCCGCGCATGTGGACGGTCCTCGGGTCTACCAACATTCATCTGTCAACACGGGTGCCAATGGCTCATACCAGCAGCCAGGGCAAGGCTATCTCAATCCAGTGTCGCAGTCGCGGCATGCGGAGCCCAATGAGGTGCCTTCTTCAGCAGCTCATGGGAGTCAGCAGACTGCACTCCCTGAGGTGGTCGTGCGGCCTCCGTCCGCTGCTCCCACGCAGCAAGATCCATACACTTCACGGATGACGGTGGGTATTCCTGTGTATCACCCTGGTGCGGTATCTGGACACCGTTTGCAGGCAGCATCACACGAGTCGCGAGCGCGATCGACGCCAGCGCCCCCAAACGTCACCAACCCCTCGCACTCGAGCCTTCCGACTACCCAGCAGACGTCACACTCGCATCCTTCCGCGCAGCATCCTGAATCTGATTCCTACCGCTCCGCCACCGCTAATGCAAACGGCCCTCAGCAATACGGCATCCCGGACTCCCAGCGCAACGCTAGTTCCATGACTCATGCTTTTGCACATCCGAGGGACCAGTCCTCCAGGCTCCCGGTATACGAGGACACAGTAGGTAATTCTACCCCCGCTGGCTATGGAAGTCAGCACACTGCGGTAGCGTACAATCAGTCTGCGCAAACAGCCACACCAAGAACCATTGCTTCGGCGGTGCATGCGTCTCCGAAGCGAAATTCGTCCTATCCAGGGGCTTCAGCGCCTCCACCAGCTCCCTTTGTTCATGTCAATGCCTCGAACTACCACGATGCTCGTTCGCCCAAACCCCCTTCGGTAGCTACGATTACGCCTGATGTGGCGGGGACTCGGTCTCAGGCCCACGGCAGGGAATCGTCAGGCCAAGGCACTCAATACCAACCTTCGCCGCGCTATGACCAGTCAACAACGCCGCTTGCCGCAGATGCTGGCCATGCTTATGCGGTTGGATCTAGCACTGGTAATTCGCCTTCACGGCACTATCTCGCGGATCCTGGTCGCTCTCCAGCCGTCGGCCACACTATATCAGTCGGCTCTGCGGTGGGGACACCAAAACATTCGCCCTCTAGCCGCCTGCACTCGCATCGCAATGGCTCGAACGACACGATCACTCACGCAGCCCCTACGAAGCCATCTCCCGCCAGTACTTTCCAGCAACAACAGCTCCCACATCGTAACAGTGTAATCAACTTACAAACCCACGCCGCATCACGACCCGATAACGCCTCGGCTACTCGTCAGCCTAACGCTTCGTCCGGATACCCTGAGCCTGCTAGATACCGTTCGCCTGCCCCGCAGGGATACCCGAGTACCCAGCCTCAATCTGCTCCTAATGGAAATTCCACCAGTTATTCTCAGTCGTACAACCCACAGAACTCAGCAGCTTACGATTATCAGTATGGTCGCACCAACGCTACTCAGACTCGTACCGCTCAGCTCGCCGACTACGGGCAGCGCCCCCAAGAGCCCCCTCATTCGGCACCTCCCACCACATCCACAATGCCGATCCCTAGCCAGCGCATCCCAACCCGCGCCGCTCCGTCGCCCGCACCCACTGTGAGGCCCCAGAGACTTGCGGCTGTCTCGTCGCCCACGGGAAAGGCTCCAGTTCCTTTGCAGTCTGCTCCTCCACAGCCCACCCGGCACCAGACGTATCCTACTCCCGCCCCGAATCATTCCACGGGCCCCTTCCCGCCGGCACACTCGCGGACGGTGTCTGATCCGCAGTATCCGGGCAGGGCTGGAATTCCGCCATACGCCTCTGCGACATTGCCATCAAGAGGACACACTGCGTCGAGGAGCGCAACGCTCCAGCCACCAGATGTGCTCTTGACGCCGTCGTCGCTTGCTCCCTCCATGCTGCCGCAGGTTTTCCCTCAGGCCCCTCTGGAACGCACGACCTCCAAGTCGTCGACAAAGGACCCGAAGAAGAAGGGATTGCTGGTCCGTGGCTTGAGCCTCTTCCGTTCGCGATCGTCCCCACCAAAGCAGCGGGAAGTCGACCCTCCTCCTTCTTCGGCGATCAGAGAGAAGCGTCAGCGCAATGTCTCGCAGCCCACGCAGCCCATGGCGCACATCCAAGTTTCCCAGATATCCGTCAAGCCCACATCTGGGGCCCCTGCTCCTCAGGTAGCGGTCGCCACGGCGTTAATCCCTGCTCCTCCCGTGGATCTTCGCCGGGAGAACGGGGCGAATCGCGTCCCCGTCGCCGCACCGACACCTGTTCATGCGGCTGGAAGGCGCAGCCCGACCGGGAAGATGTTCACGCCCTTCCGGCTTCTGTCGCGACGACATCACACCGTTTCCACTGCTTCAGTGGATGCAGTCGACGGCACGGTGGTGAGTCATGCATGCCGGTGCTTCCTTGGCCATCGTTGACTGATGGGTGACTTTAGATCAACGCGATGCTGACGGGCGGAGAGTCAACACGAAGCTCGACGGCAGGCCGTCCATCACCTCCCCTCCGGGACCCCATGACTGCAGCGCAGGAGTGGCGCAACCGGGAGGAGTACGAGCAGCAGGGGCGTGGTCCGCTGCGGCGACGCCGACCGGGAGTGACGTTCGATGTCGGGGACCAGGTGCCGGAGGACCGGACGCCTGTGCAGAAGTCGATGAAGGCCAACATTGCCGCTATGCAGGCCGCGACAACGACGACGCCAGCGCCCACAAGGCAGGCGACAGCGTAAGTCAAGGTGGGGGGGCATCAAGATAGCCCGCGCGAGTGTGGAGGCCTGTTTGTTATGACCACGACCGTGATATGTCTGGGATAGAGTCGCCGTGTTATCTATGCATGCACCTGCTATGTAAATGTATCTATATGTCGTCGTTACAGTTGTCGCTAGTGCAGGATGTAATGTATTGGTAGTGTATTAATCGATCCAATTGTCTCCAGCTGTTTGAAGCGCTGGTTTACTATCAGTACTTACTGCTACTAGGATAGGTTACTTGGAGGCTGACATAGGAGTAAGCAATAAACACAACCTATAATATGTAACTTTAAGGTCGGTATGGTTCGATGGTGTAGTTGGTTATCACGTCTGTCTCACATTTGATGCTGTGCGCACAGGAGGTCTCCGGTTCGAGCCCGGGTCGAACCATAGTTTTGCTGAATGCAGCCAGGAGAATAATGAATTTACGACTGAAACAAGTCTGAACGTCGTCCGCGAATGGTCAACGCGAACGTCGTCGAATACCCAACACTCTCCGAATCGGCGTTCACACAGTGGCAAAGCCGGCCGTGTCTGTTTTCTGCCACGGAGATCGACGGGACAGCGTCGTTGATGCGAGTGTCGTGCGCAGCAATACACAAGTTCTGTCGCAAACAGACCTGTTGAGTGCATCACAGGCTAAAACCGCATCCATCTTGCGGACCCTGCAGGAATGTATGAGGACAGGAACGATTAAACTTGGCCAAGGATTATAAGCGTCGGATGTATCATAAATTCGTTGAATCGTTGTGACTGTATGAGACGGACGTGTTATGCAGCTGCGCAATGCTAGACGCCGAGAGGGGTGGCCATGAAGTATTATACGGTACTGCGGTGCTGGGTCCGGGCATCGCTCGCCACCTCTTCTCTTCTGTCCCGCCTCTTCCCTCCCGTCCACTCCCTCCTTACTCCAGCACCGTCCAAGCGCAGCCTCTCGCGGGGTCGACACCGTCCTACAAGATGATGACGCCTATGCGTTACGTGGTATTGGTGCTGGCCATCATTGTAAGTTCCCCGACCAGCCAATCCAGCTCTCCTGCACACTTTCCAACGCCCGCCACGTAGATCAGCCTGCACTTCCTCCTGAGCTTCTCGCACGAGGAGTACGGCCGCGCGACCTCTCTGTCAAACATTTCTGAGCACTTTGGCGGCGTCAAGCCCCACCCGCCGTACCAGGATGGTGTCCCGGAGGAATATTACAACGAGCCCGCAGTTTCTTCCCCCAAGGGCAGGCGAGCGAACGCCACTTTCGTTTTCTTGGCCCGCAATGGGGATCTCAACGGTGTGATCATGAGCATGAAGCAAGTCGGTGAGTGCACTCTTCTACATCGGCTCCACTGCGCCTCACTACAGCTATCAGAGGACCGATTCAACAAGGAGTTCCAGTACCCCTACGTCTTTCTGAACGAGGAGCCCTTTTCAGATGAATTCAAGGAGTATGTACCCGTTGCTTGTCTTTGACCAAATTACGCACCCTGACAATTGACTGCCACAGCCGCGTTCAAACGCTTACTGATGCAAACATAGAGTTTGGCCTTATTCCCAGGGATGACTGGGTTCAGCCAACCTGGATCGACGAGGAACGCGCAACAGCTGCACGAAATGAAATGGTGAAAAACAATGTCATATACGGCGGCAGCGTCCCGTACCGCAACATGTGTCGCTTCAACTCCGGCGTAAGCTACAGCTTTGACCAACTTGATTGACGTAAAGTGCCAACGCATGCGTAGTTCTTCTACAGACATGAGCTGCTTGCGAAATACAAGTACTATTGGCGTGTAGAGTGAGACCACCCTCCACGTGCATGACGCATTGCTGACATGGACACAGGCCTGACGTCAACTTCTTCTGCGACCTGCACTATGATGTATGCGTGTCTTCGACATCACGTTTTTGAATGATTGAGCTCATACTTAATTTGCCATAGCCCCTTCTCCTTATGCAAGACCAGAAGAAGGTTTATGGTTAGTAATTCCATCTCCAACGAAGAAAACTAGAGTCAAACCTATAACTCTCTCTAGGTTTCACCGTCTCGCTGTATGAGTACCCCGCCACCATACCTACACTCTGGGATGCGGTGAAAGGTCTGACTTCTCGTTGCGGCTTGCATCCATATCTCCTCACCGCTTCTTTCAGAGTTCGTTGACACCAACCCTGAGCTCGTCGCGCCCGACAACGCGATGAGCTTCGTGTCGGACGACGGCGGCAAAAGCTACAACAACTGTCATTGTATGTATCTGCGGCAGCGCGAGATTGCCGTGTTCCTAACTACTTCCTATCCATAGTCTGGAGCAACTTCGAAATTGGCGACCTCGACTTCTGGCGCGGTGAGGCTTACACAAAGTTCTTCGACTTCCTCGACAAAAAGGGCGGCTTCTACTACGAAGTACGAAAGCTTGCTACAGTCTCATGTATAATAGAAGCTGACTACGTTCGGTAGCGTTGGGGAGATGCGCCAGTGCACAGCATCGGTGCCGCTCTATTAGCGAAGAAGGACCAGATTCACTTCTTCAACGACATCGGTGCGTGCATTTGCACCGTTGACCGTCAATCTCCCGCAGTTCGCTGATGTCCCCGCAGGCTACCGGCACAACCCCTTCCAGCACTGCCCTCAGGGCGAAGCACACAAGAAGGGCAAGTGCTGGTGCAATCCCCAGGAGAACTTCGGTGAGCATCGCCGTCGATACAATCCGTCCCGTCCGGCGCTGACATTACGCTATTACTACAGATTACGAGTGGTACAGTTGTCTCAAGCGCTACGACGCACTGTTTGCCTGAGCGATCCGCCTCTGTCCCCGTGTATCCCCCCAGCTACCATATCTATACCGTATTTCCCTGTCGGGCTAACCTGGAGTGTTTGCAATAAGGCATAGTTGTTCGTAAAGTGTCACACCGGCCAGGCCGCCGCCTCAATGTCCTGCTCGTACACGCTGAATGACCCGAAAGTGCTCGTGGCACATCACAAGATAGATTGCGAATAATACTGGAACTGTTATCCGGCGCCATAGCCGCGTCAATGAAACGCTGCTGGAGAAAACATGGGCAGAGAGAGACTTACAGAGTCGTACAACCTCGTCCAGTTCGATCCCAGAGACGCATCGATGAGCCTCTGGACGTGCTCCTCCACAGCGCTCTGGGTGAGCCCTTGCTGGAACCGATCCCGCAGCAGCGACGCCGTCTGCTCGCCGAACGCCGCAAAGCACGGTAGTCCCGAGTCTTTCTGCATGAGCTCCACAAGCGCTATTCCCGCACGCATCAGCAATCCGAGGCCCAGATGGCATGGCATGCGCGGAACACTCACTGACGATGCGGTCGCAGTGCTTGCGCGCGGCGTCAAAGCCCTCGTGGAAGAGCTTGCGGAACTCGCGGTATGCGGGGCTGTCGAGCCCGCCGAGGACCTCGACGTACTCGAACGGGAGCTTGAACGGCGCGGCCTCGAAGCCGATATTGCCGGGGGAGTTCGCGAGCATGAACCCGAAGTCGATGTGGATGAGGTGCCCGTCGCGGTCGAGCAGGATGTTCCCGTTGTGCCGGTCCTTGATCTGTAGCAGGTACGTCACGAGCGAGCATCCCGCGAGCGACTTGGCGAAGTTGCGCTGGGCGCGGGCGAACTTTGCTGACGACGGGTCGCCGTAGGTCTATGAATGCGTACAGTGAGCCAGGGTGCATCCGGAAGAGCATAGGCAGTGACAGGGCCCACCGTCTTGAAATGATCGAGCAGGGTGACGTTCCCGAACCGCTCCTCTGCGAGTCTTCGCGCGTACTCGGCCTTCTTGATGGAGTGGATTGAGACGGCGTCGGTTATCGTCTCGACGAGCCCAGACGAGTTACCCGTGATGAGTATGCGGAAACTGAGATGTCGAGTGATCATTCGTCTCTAACCTAGCAAAAGCTACCAGCGGGCACAACTCACTAGCGCACCCAGCATTGACAGTTCTCGTCCTTCCAGATCTTCTCGAACTCCTGGATGAGCTGCACAGCAAGCTGCTCTTGACGCAGATCCCCGCCAGTCTTCACGATGACAGAAACACAATCCCAATTGGCTGTACAAAGCACATCAGACGGTACACGCAAGAAAGATTCCCGAAAGGCTCACCAAGATGACCGTATGGCGATGCTTGCCGAACGCGTGCCTAGGGACCGTACTTAGGATTTGCACCTCAAACCACCACGGCCGTCCTCTCACGTACCTTCTTCGCCGCCCACGACTCGCTGAATACTACAGCTGACGGATCCGCTTTGCTTAACTCCCGCCGGATAATGCCCTCGTCCTCCGCCGTCTTCATGTCCCCGTTCATATTGCTGATCTGAAGTGAACTCTCATTCAAACCGTTCTCCCGCATCCGCGCCATCCGCTCCTCCTCCAGAGCTAGCATCTCCTCCATGATCCGGTCACGGATCGCAGCCGCCTCCGACATCTGCAGCTTCATCCGCATCGGTGCGGCCGCCCCAAGCTCTGCCGACGACCCAGGTATAGGCGTCTGCGGGGTCCCGTTCGCCACTGCGCCGGTGAGCCAACTCGTGCCGGGTAGCCACCGCAACGGTGCGACGAGTACAGATAATTCCTGGGAAGGGGGAGGCATCCCAGGGCCAGCCACAGCGGTGACGGGTTCGCGCATGAGACTGGCGTTCAGCTGGGCAAGCATGACCGCGGCGGTACGCATTCGTTCGGAGTATTCGTCCAACGATAACACACGCGTTGTCGGCACGGTCCCTTGGCTTTGCTGGTGCGAGGGCGCGCTCGGGATGCTCGGGACGGGCTGTGGAGGTGGGGGTATGCTGAGACTGAGAGAAGGAGTATGCGGTGCGCCAAACGGGTCATACTTGTCTAGGAACGGCGTCTGCGGGTTGGAAGAGGTCCGAGACCATGTCGCCATATCGAGCTCCTTGTTCTTTGGTGGAGGGGGCAGTACGATGGAGTCCGAGAGATCCATCTCGTTGGCGCGCAGTGAGCTCTCTGTGCCATAGAGCTGTTCTACAAGATCGATCTCTTCCTCTTCTGCGGGCGAGGGCGAGATCACTGATGGGGAGACAACTGGGGGCTCCGATGAGGGCTCTTCAGTGTGTTCTCCGTCAGTTCCTAGGGCAACTTCAGAGCCGTTAACATGGTCGGGAATGATCAGCGTAGGCTTGGGGTGGGATTCGCTCCTTGTGAACGAGACGAGGTCTCTAGATGCTCCCTTTGACACGTGCTCTTTGGATACAATCTTCTTAAGAATCTCCTTGTTGCTTCGTTTGCCTGGATCGAAATCCAAGTCGTTATGCAGGATTTCAACCAGCAACAGGTATGGGGCTCGTTCGGCGGAGTTGAGCACGACACTTTCACCAGGAGGTATTCGCACAATGCGATGATGGGGTTGAGGGATATGATGTGGTGGCTGGGTTGTATC